GCCAGAGTCGCCCTCCCGGCCCCAGGCTGCCCGGCAGCTGCGCCTTGCATCGACGGCTGCTCCAAGCCACCGGCGCAACGCCACCCCACCAAAATACGGGGACGCACATTCGGCTCCACACCTTCGGCGCTTCATGTAACCTCCTCGCCTGTCAGATCCTCGGGGCAGGGATCTCTCTACCGTTGGTCGGTACGGACATGTCTACAGAGCGGGGCAAAGCCCAAGTTTGCTCTAGAACCTGCTGTTTTCGCTTCACTCATGGACCGAAGGGAAAGGCAAAGAGTATACTGTAAAACCAGCGGGATGCCAAGAAACTCACAGTGGCAAGCTCCTAATGCCCTCCTCCCAAACCTCTGGGGGAAAAAAAACATCGTAGAGAAAATATGATGTAAAATTAATGCACTCCACGTTTTTCCTGCCCTTCGGCCTACTCCTCAGCTGAAACACAAGCCAGAGCTCAGTCCCCAAGGACTTAACAATCCCAAACCAAAAAATCATTGCACAAAATGACACAGCTAAGAGCAAAGATGCACAAGCTTCCAAAAGAAGCAGTTCTCCTTTGAAATCCTCACACAAACTCCTCCGAAGCAAGAGATACCGGGCAAACATCTTCCAGTTTCCCAACACCTATTCTCACCTTTCATGCTTGGCCAACGCGCCACCCACATTTGTTGCAAGGTATAATTTGGCACAGATATACCTTTGCGCCTGCCCAGCCTTTGCAGAGCGTGCTGCGGCACTGCCCCTGCAGGCTTGGTGGCACGACAGACCCGCGCGCGTCCCACAAGGGCAGCTCAGACCAGTTCCTCAGTCACTCCTCCCCCCCCCCCCCCAACGGCTGAAGGACCTGATGGCCAAAAGCAAAATCCAGCACTGGACGCGATGGCTGGAAGCCTGGTCGGCTTCCAAGGTGATGGGAAGACAGGGTTTGCAGCCCGAATTTGGCCTGGCAGAAGTTCTGAGACCCAGCTGTCTCCACAGTCCTGTCTCTCTTCAGCCACTGTTGCCACTGTTTATGGCTGTTGGCACTACATGGCCTTTTGCTTCACACAAAGGCAGATCAAAGGGGTGCAAAACAGCACACAATCAGGTCTTTTGTACCCACTTTACACCGTCATATGACTACATGATGTGAAAAGCTATGAAACAGCAAGGCTCGTTATTTAAAATAGGCAGTTAAGTCTTGGGCAAGGCTATGTTGCATCCCCGAAAATCCAACACTTGGGTCGAACCAGCTTCACCACCTAAAGCAATATTTTAAACAGTAAATCTATCTCAGAAGAGCGAGAGCACAAGAGCCCTGTTAGAATCCAGACCTGTAGTTCCAGGCACTGCAGGGCTGAATGTCACTGCTCTTTGCTCTTTATTTTTGTAACTACTTTTCAGTACCCTACACTCCCTATTTCTGAAGCTTGTAATTGTATTTCAGGGAGTTTGAAGAGATTTAATCCAGCTATTACTTGATCGTACAGCAAATGCACCATGAACAATCAAGTGATCTTT